GGGCGAGCCGCGATGTCCGCCGAGCCACCCCCGGGGCCGGAGGGCCGCTCCGCCATCCTGCGCGCCTCGGAGAAGAAGTGCTGTGAGTGCGGCCGGGCCGGAGGGGGGGCGCGGGAGGCGGCTGTGTCCCACCTGGGGGGCTGCACCCATCTCCAGGCACTGTCCCCGCAGCCTCGGAGGGCAGCCGGCTCCGACCTTCGCTCCTCTCCCTGCTTCCTCTCTTTTTTTTTGTCTTTTTCTTCTTTTCGTCTTTTTCGTTTAGTCTTTTTTTGTCTTTTCTTTGCCCCCTCAATAGGGACGTGGAGTGCCGCTTGGTGCACTTTGGCCCGCGGTCTGGAATGGCTCCACGGAGGGCGGGTGTCACGCAGCGGATGCTGCAACGGGCGGGGAGGAGGAGTTTTTTTCTGCCTGGTCCTCTCTCCCTTGCAGCCTCCAGCATTTTAGGGTGCTTGGTTTGTGGTGCGGGTACCGCCAGGGGTCTGCAGACAGCCTCTCGGTGGTATGCCGTAACAAATGTATTATGATGCCTTTATAGGACCAAAATGTGCCAGTGGTACTTAAGGTCGAACTGAAAAAGGTGCTGGTGGTACTGCTTTAAATCGGTGGTGCGCAATGTGGGAACCGCAGAGGCTGGATCCTTCCCTCCCGTGCTCAGTAGTGACTGACGCCCCTTTCCTGTGAGCCTGTGTCCAGTCCCTCTGTGAATCTGGTCCGGCTTTTGACTTCCCCCACACATGACGCCATGGATGGACCCTGCAAGGGTGCAGGGAAGACCTCGGTGCTGAACACTTCCCTGTTTCTGTGCAGAGGGAAAGGCTTACAAGAGTTTTCCCCCACCTGGCTCATCTTAATGGACTTACTAATGAGCTTCACCTTGTTTCTGCTGCTGTTTTTAGCTGACCCAAGTTAAGGACAAGCTGCCAGGCACTGTTGGGTGTGCAAACCTAGCACACATTATAACCCCAACCCCATTAAGATAGGAATCTGTAGTGTTACACATATTCTGCCCTGCTGTGGGCTGAGTTCTCTGCTACAGAAGTGCTCTGTAGTCAAAAAAAAAAAAAAAAAAAAAAAAAGAGAAAAAAAAAAGGGCGGGCTTTTTTTGGGGGGTCCCCCATGTTTCTTCAGGGGCGCCCTGCAAAA